CCAGTGTATGTGCTTGTTTAATAGAGAGAGGGGGGGCCAAGGTTCAAGTTATTTCCTTCTCCCAGTCCAACACTTCCTATCCCCATATTTAAAACTCCAGATAGGTCATATCCAAATAAAGCAGTATTCCACCTCCTGGTGTAACACTGGAATTGGAATTTTGTAACTAATAAGTCAGTTATAATAAATGTATGTTATAGCAAAAGTTTGGATTAAACTTAAATAGAAGATGTAGGCCTCAAGCAAGCAGCTTTGTTAACTTAGCTCCAGTTCTATTAGATGTTAGCATGTTAAAGTGAAGGGACGAAATATTGTAATATATAGTGATTTTAGTGTTAAAGAAGTTTAATGTTGAAAGACTTTGTAACTTTGTTAAAATGACTAGAAATTCCCCTTTGTTCCATGCTGCAATTCTGTAAATGTATTGTTTGTGTAAATGAGAGAGAATGTTTTAGGAGAGCTAAGTGTGAAGGCCACTGCATGGTCATATGGTCAGAGGAGGGGCCGGAGACTCAGAAGCACCAAATAATAAAGCACACTAAAGACGCAGACTACTGGGCAGACTGACAAACCCTGAAGCTAGAGGCAAGCACTCCTTGATAGGGAACTAATCACAACCTTTGCTGGAAAGACAACACCCGAGGGGTCGTCAGCTTAGTGATATCGGACGACTGTGAGAACAACTTCTTCCCAATAAGCATATATCATAGGAAGACTTATTGTGATGCTGAATGACTAATTACGTCTTGACAAGGCAAAATGCATAGACTTGGCATGGAAGGAAAATCCTATAAAAGATGGAGTGTCTTGTATGGTTTTTCGGCTTCTGTCCTGCTAAGATCAAGATCAGGAGGGGGGCATCAGTCCGGACTGACACATGAACCCGGCTCCCTTCCTCACATCTGACCTATCTGGCCAATAGGTCAGGCTGAGCAACAGACTGGTAACTATTCCATCAGCAGGATGTGTGTGTGTGTGTTCTCTCTCTCTGTGTGTGTGTGTGTGTGTGTGTGTGTGTGTGTGTGTGTGTGTGTGTGTGTGTGTGTGTGTGTGTGTATTTATGTAAATGCATATGCTACTTTGTTATATTATCAATAAATGCAGCGTGTTATCTTATCTCCCTGAAAAAGGTCCCATATGCTTCTTATAAGCATAACACTGGACAATGGATGTTAGATGAAATTCTCCTCATGGCGCTCCTGAAGTATTCCTCTTTTCATAGTAAATCATCAGTGTAATGAAGATTTCAGTGCACATGCTACTTTCGGTCACACTTATGCAATGCCATTGTCTAAGAATTGGAACATATTTAGTCTTTCCATTTATACATCCCTCCTGCATTTATCGTCATTATATCTAAGGCACAGAGAGGCAATGGTGCATTATTCCTATTAACAGCACCTTCAGGATGAGGTTAAAAAGATGTTGCAAATATGGATTGTCTCTTTCCAACAACTGTGGAGACAGTGGGAAAGGTTTTTTATCACTTCCGTTGCATAATGCAATTTAGAGGATGGTGTGATACGGTCTGTAGAATTAATTTCTAAAGAATTTTGGGTGAGTTTTGATGTACAGTGCTATATAAATGCAAACTCATGAGATGGATTTTAGAGGGTTGGGTATAACTGAACATACTGGCCATTTAAGGCAGGCCTGTCACTTCTTACTGGATCTCAGTCCATTAAGGTTGTGCATTCTGCAGTCTGTAATTCAGGGGTGGCCAATCTATGGCTCTGCAGCCACCTGTGGCTCTTCTGAAGTTAATATGCAGCTCCTTGCTCAGGCACTGACTCTGGGGCTGCAGCTATAGGTATCAAATTTTCAGTGCTCAACTTCTAGCTCTACCTCCTCCTCCAAGCGTATTGCACCCTCACTCCTTCCTTCCCCCACAGAGCTTCCTGAGTGCCACGAAACAACTAATTACAGTGGACAGGAAGCACAGGGAAGGAAGAGGAGGCACTGATCAGTGGGGCTGCTGGTGGGCAAAAGATACTGGAGATGGGAGAGGGGGCACCTAATGGGGAATGCTCACAAATTACTGTCACTCTTTGGCAATGTACATTGGTAAACTGTGGCTCCTTCTCAGGCTCAGGTTGGCCACACCTGCTGTAATTGATGGATAGATGATGGGAACTGTAGGCTGGAAATGTGTGCTGGGCAAAAACTTGGTTTAAGAGGGAGCTGGAGAAGGAAGCCATGATAGTCTAGGCTAGAGTAACAATGCTTTTAAATTTAGATACTTAAGAACAAACACGGGAAGCAGTCTTTGGAGAAGTATGAAGTGAACATGTGAGGCTGCAATAGACTTCTGCTTAGTTGTTCAGAATTTCCAAGCTGGAATATTTAGTAGAGGGAGGGCACAGAGCCACATATGGAACTAAGGCCCAGCAAGGTGTTTATACACCATGAGTGATGAACTGTAATAGAAGTGAAGAAGAATGTTTGAACAGATCTGAGAATGAGGTGCAGCTCAGGGAATGCAGAACTAACATTGAATTCCTGCACCATGAGGGGAAAACTCTGACAGAAGAGAAGACGGTTCACCTACACATAAGAGTGTTGTAGACCTGATAGTGAAGAACTGTATAAAAGGCTGCTGCTCTACTAGAGTTTCATTTGCTTTGCCCAAAAGGGAAATGTATATTACTAGCAGAAGGAGATAGTCACAGGCGCAATTCTGTCAGAGTTGAATTTTTTTAAATGAACAAAACATTAAGCTACCTGTCTTCAGGGCTGAAGGAAACACTCATTTTGTCCATTTTTCTCTCTTACTAGAATGAACTCTTGTTCTTTAGTTTTGTTGTAATAGAAATTGTAAAGATGAAAAACAAAAACCAAACTTTAATTTTTTCTTTTAAGGAGAGCTGAGAATAGAAACAAGTGTGAGTCCAAAAAAAAGTTTTCACAGGAACTTTGAACCACAACTATTGCAGCACTTCCTGTGCTTCAAACATTAAAAACTTTCCTATCTCCTGTGAGAATGCTACATTTATGGAAAAGATAATACCATTTAATGTACAAGTTGATTTAACAACTTGGTTAACTGTTGTATTTAATGATAAAGATAAGCTTTAATCCCACTGCTGTGACAACTGACAACACACACAAAAATAATCTGTTCCCATTTTTCCTAAATAGTCTCCCAGAGCTTTTAAATAAAAGTTGCTGTGTTTAGAGAAACTCTTTCATTCCATCAAGGAAATATTTTAAAAAAATGTTTATACCCTCAGACCACAAGAGGCTCATGGAGTGGGAGGATAACTAGGAATCAAATGTTTCCCTAACAGCAAGTTCAGTTTCCCACAACAAGAGAAGCCCCAAACTGCTGCTGGATTATAGTTGTTGTCTGGAGGAAATTACTGTTAGTCACCTGTTTTAAATCCAAAAAGTCCTTGGCATATAGCAAAGTAACAAAAGATCCATGAGAAAAATCACCCCCTACAGTGAATATAGGGTCTATTTATTTAAAACAATTAAATATATTGTGTTGTTTTTCCTGGATTTTTAACAGACATTCCTACTTCTTCTCATCTAATGTCGGAAGTGAGTTCTCACAAGTAGGGACCACATCAATTAATTCAGCCTGACCTTTGGTTAAGAGAGGAAGTAGGCTTCCCTTCACCCCTCCTTCCCGCTCTCCCTCCCCCCCCCCAAAATCTCCAAACTTCATATATAGCTCATATTTTAAAGGAGTATTTTTTAAGGTCTTCCAGATGAATAGTTTCTGCACTAGAAGCAATCAGAGTTTTGTTTAAAAATTTTGTTTAAGCAAAACTTTCTATTGATTTCAATAGGAGTTCTGCTAAGAAGTGATGGTAAGATATGACCTAAATCATTAATCAAATATATATTAATGGTTAACTGGTAAGTTTTTTTCTGAAACGAAGAACTTTTATATGTTCTTACTTATCCCAATTTTTTTATATGATACCTAAAAGAGCAAAAAACTTAAATATCAAATGGCAACATGTATGGAAAAGCAGAGTTTCACAGATATCAGCAGTTCAAAGTATAACTAATATTATTCATTCCATAAAAGAAAAGACATGAGACAGACACTTAAGTTATTTACATAGGACTTCATTTGCAAAAATATAAAAAAGGAAGCAAAGTGTTTATAGTCGAGATTGAGTCACAATAAAACTGGACTGGGACAAGTACTAAAACTTATCAGCCACAAGGAAATGTTGTATCATATTTCTAAGCAGTTTCATAGTTGCTAGAAAAGCACTAGTGGAGGCCAGCCAAAAGGTTTTAAAAGAAGCCAGGCCACAGATATGGATGCCATTGCTGGAGAGAGTGATGTGAGGGAAGTGTTCCATAGCTTGGCATCCAAGTCTAGTAGCTGCCAAGCAACATCCATTAGCAGCCAAAGTGCTGGCTCCAACACATCCAGGAGGAAAACAAAGGGCAGAAAACTGAAGACCAAGTAACATTTGAAGATTTCTGTCTAGAAGGCTGAAATTATGCACAACTGCCAGTTTCCTTTTTAATACTGGAATATTAAAATACTAGAAAACAGATGATGTTGACAGAAGTCTGATCCCTAGATTTATGAATGAAAACTAAACTGATATTTGTAATCAAGATGATAGCTTTGTTAGAATTTCATTTTAATAGCAGTGTTGGCATTAGCAGTGGAAATGAAGAAAGGTCAAAATGTGACTCAAGGCAATAAATAATGTTGTTAACTTTCATTCCCACTGCTGATTGCTTTGCTAAACAAATGACATTTCAGGAGGGCTCTATTAAAATGCCCACAAAGCTAACGTTTTCCAAATTCTGGTGCATATTATGGGCTGTTTTTGAAAGAGTGATTTCTAGAGAAAAGAGTACTCAAATAGAACCATAAGCTAACCATTACTGCTGGTTGTATACAAATGTGAATGAAATATGCATAATAGAGAATTTCTGTAGAACAATTTTAACAAAAATATACTAAATTGTGTACAATATTTACAGTAATGAAGCAAAGGATCTGAAATTCAGAAGTGAAAAGGTTGGTTATTCAAGCAATTTAATATTGATCTGCTGAGGAAGAAAAAGTAGACAATTTATCATGCATTTAATGTTTACAACTAAACTAAACAGCATTTACTACATCTTTAAGAAAACTCAATCTACTGCAAAATAAAATGGGCTTGGAGAAGACTGGATGTCAGACTATACAAATGAAATATTAGTTTAGGCATGGTAGACTTTATTTTGGCACTTTAACAAATATTTTATTTTATAGCAGTGGCACAGCATTTGCCAGAAATTTTCTTTTCTTGGCACCGTTATTTCAAATAGTTGTTTTATTAATTGAATTTCATTAAATATTGCACAATAAGATATACCTATTAAATATTTACCTTGATTTTAGTTGGTGAAGATATATGGCTTTGGAAAATCTGCCAGCAAGCCTAAAAGGTTTTTAACTACTTACAGTATAGAAAAAAATTAAATTTTCCCTAAATGACCACTGAACTTGGAGCAGCAGCAAATATTAAATGATTATATTATTTGGAGTCCTACTATTTTGTATGTACAAGGGTACAGAATTGTGAGAAGCAAGTAAGTTCAGTTCTGTCCACCTCATTTTGAAATTAAGAAATAAGAAAAGAGGAAATTAACAGACCTGAAGTCAGAACCTATCATAGGCAAACATACTGCTGTCATCTTTGTTATACAGCTATTTGAATGCTAACCAATAAAGTCTTTTTTATCTTTTCTACTTGAAATAGGTCTTGTCTTCTCCTATGAAGATACGCCACTTCTCAATTCTCCTTCTGGAGTCTGAGTTGAATCAAGCTGAGCTTCTCCAAAGGTGAAATAAAAGAAATTATATCCATAATACATGAACCTGCATATACTCCTTTTGAGTTTTACAGCCTGAAATTAACATTTGCAGAAAGTGTATGTCTATGCCAAAGCTGCCATTGAATATAATGAAAAGATTGAAAGCCTTATAATTCACAGGCATGATTCCAAGTTTTTACACAAAGAAATATTCAAGGTTTTCCCTGCCATTTCTGAATCTCTGTGCAAAGCATAAGCCTCATCAACGGCTTTTTTGGTCTTCGTTTCCAAATAACATGCTCCAAGATTTAATAGACATAATTTGTGATATTAAACATAACCATGTAGGAGTAAGGTGAAAAAGTACAAAAGTATATGACTATGACATTTCAGTATTAGGCCACGTGATTTATTCAGTAGTGTTTATGTTCCCAAATTACAATTTATGTCTATCATCCATGTAAGACTACAAAAGTTACCATTAGAATCGTCTGTGCTTATAAAATACCAACATTTTCTTTTACTGTTATATATTCATTAACACCAGTCTGCGACAAGTTACATAGAATCATAGGCACTTCAAAGGCTTTAAAACACGTTTACAACTTAAGTATACTTTTAAGAACAAAAATTGATTTTTAAACCCCTACGTGTAACTTCAAATTCAAGAAATTAACAGATACAGTGGCCATAGAAATCTGCAGCAACTTTTCAGAATACTGTTAGAGTCTTTGGGTTTGCTTAGGCTTGTCAGTAGCTTACTTCAAATCTTACTTAAAGATTTGTTTAGTAAGGATATGACTATACAGTTTCTAGTAATAATCCAATTTTACACATTATTTTGCTGTTACAAATTTCACTGAAGCTACAGTTACATTGAGAAACAATGCAAAGTGTAAAATTGATATTCGGACACAAATTGATACAAAGTGGAGGTTAAAGTTTACATAGCTGAAAAATTACATTTACACTAAAAGTTACTGTCATCTGAATTATCTGAAGACAAATTGCACCATGACAACTACAAAAAGGCATTTTTTTGGAAATCGATAAATTAATGAAATAAAAACTAACTTGTAAGATCAATCTGAGACATGCTGACAAAAATTAAACAACTTTCATTGAGCCATAGGATAAAACAATCATTTTCATTATTTTATATTTATGCATAAAGTTTTAAAAATGATTCAGTGAACATCAATGGTTTTATAAAATAATGCTTTACCACTGCTATTCACAGAACACTGCAAATGTTAAGTTTTAATTTTACATTTTTTAAAGGAATACATGAAAAGTTTTAAATACAATGGGATTTTATCATAAAGGTGCCATAATGGCTCTTTAAAGAAAAAAGATCTTCATTATTCTATGCAAAAGCTTTATTTAAAAGAGTTCAGTGATCTCATAAATAGAGACACTAAGTAGGAGTTTTATGCATAAAACTCCTTAGTAGGTGCCTTTTGATAGGCAGCACTGGATGGTTTACGTTCACCAAGGTCGTAGCTACCTTCATCCTTCTTCCTCATGCGATATACCAACAGCAAGATAAGGAAAATTGCGAAGAGAAAGCCAATAACTCCACCAGCAATAACAGCTGTAATAAAATGAACAAACATTCACAATATGCCAAAATAAGACCCATAGCTTCAATTTTTTTCCACAACAGAAAATATTTACTAATTATTTGCTATCCTTTTAAAATTTAAAAACTGGCTACAATTAAGTAGCTATCTAGATTTTTTTTTAATTAAAATTACAAAACTGTAAAATTTTTCTGTTTAAAAAACAGGTTTTTAAACAGAAAAACAGTTCAATAACGAGTTTTCTTTAAAAGTCAAATACATGATATGGCTCATAGTTCTACAGAAATTAAAAAATGCAGCTCAAAGTAATAATTTTTTTTAGTTAAAAAATTAATGCTCCCAGAGCACAACAACATGATCATATATAACCATAAAATCTTAGCTACTTCTCAACTTACTTTTAACACGCGCAAGTGACTTTTCCAACATTAAAATTACATATAATTTATTCCTGATTACTATTCAGTTTTACCAAGGAAAAAACAGATTCATGCCACATCTCCTTAGTTCTGTTACCCCATGACCTAAGCCTAAAATAAATTTCCAGATGATAAACATTGTGTCCCTTTGATGTAGCCCCAAAATGATATTTCGTGTGCCGTGTATTTGCCCATGTGCATAAGCTAGCAATTTACACTACACTTATCAAATCTGAAACATTTACACTGCATACGCCATGTCAACGCTAGTTTTCTCTGACTCAAACCCCTTGAGTTTCAGAGAAATTCAGGTCCAGAATGTTGTAACTTGAACTCACTTCTACAGCTCAAACCACCACCATCCCTTTTGGGAGATGCAATTTCCAGAAGAGTTTGGATGCCACAATTAAACCTATAGAAGAATTTCACATTTATAAATTCCTGGAAATCAGTGCTGATTATAAAGAAAAACAGAATAATGATATTAGTATGACTATCTGGTGCTACTTTGCTGAAACACCACAAAATGAGGGGACAGCTTGTGACTTCTTGGTCCACACATGAGATGACCATCTATACAGACATCCCTGCTTCTCAGTGTAAACAGAGATTGCAATTTCCATAGTATCATCTCTTCTGTTTCCCAGATAGCACTCTATTGGGATAGGTCAGGCTGGTGGGGAATAGATTTTTGCCCTACAAGTTCAGATTACAGCTCTCCTTTTCTAGGCTGTGAAAGCTAAGAACAGTCAGGTAGAAGCACTGAACTTCTGGGGATAGAATACCTGGCCTGGCAAAGGGTAGGCTATAGATAAGTGTTTCTTAAAAAAAAATTGTTTGGTGTTCCTCGGTTTTAAAAAGTTTAATGAGGAACACCAAGGATTTTTTGTTGAGTGCAAAAAAAAGGGGGGGGGGAGTTGTTGAGCAAAAAACTTTAAAATGGCCTTTAAGGGTGGCCATTTTGAATTCTGTTGTTCTCCGCGGCACACCTCCGACTGCCTCGCAGCACACCGGTGTGCCGCGGAACACAGTTTAAGAAACACTGCTATAGATTAAATAACTCTGGGCAAAGACCAGCTAATTATCCACCAAAGAAGAGTGGGAAATATATGATCCTCAGGAACCCCACAAAAGTGTGATGGGTAACACCCTGGGGACAATATGAATTTTGATTATATTATTCTGCTGGTAACAGCCTTGTATTTTCTATATTTTATTTTTTCTCTATTAATTTAGTAAAAAAGGCTTTTGCTGGCTATTCCTTACCTGCAAGTACTTCTGTTCTTTGAAAGAGGTTTTCTGAATGCTTCTCAGTAAATACATCAGTGTCATCACCAGGGTCGTTCTTTTTGTTAGCGTTAGACTTTGTCTTCTGAATTTTATCTTTGTCGTCATTTTCTTCAGGTGACTGTAGTACAAAATTTTTTTAAAAGCTATTATCTCATTACAAAAGTATATTTCTTCACTTTAAATGGAACTTCATACCTAAACATGCACATTCCAACACAAAAACAAGTAGGGAGGCAGTAGCATATTTAGGGTGTGTCTACACAGCAATTCTGTTATTTCTAAATAATTTCAAAACAACAGTCGGCTTATTCCAACTTCTGTAAACCTCATTCTACGAAGAATAATACCTATTCCAAAATAGCTATTTTGAAATAAGGCGTGTGTAGACGCTCCATTTCTGCTATTTCGAAATAGCCCCTAACCAGAGCCATTCTAAGTTCTTTCTCCTGCAGCTCTATGTCGAGATAGCACATCTACATTAGGGAAGCCTGCCTTGGACTAATTTTGAGGTTTCCCTACAGTGGAGATGTGCTATTTCAAAATAAGCTATTTCGGAATTACTATTCTGGAATAGCTTATTGCGAAATAACTGTGCAGCGTAGATGTAGCCTTATTGAAAAGTGATATGGTCATCATAAAGTTGAAACATAAAACATGTTCCTATGAGATCTGTGCAATTATATGGTCCACATCTCTAAAAGTGCATTGAGTTACAAAATAAAAAGTCCTAAATGCCCACAGAATTACTAAACATAGGAAACTAAAGTAAAAAATGGCTACACCTATTCAGAGGCAAAATCTGCATTCAGCATCTATAGTGCTTTGATTCTCAGAAATCATTCCCCTTGATAGGTCATGCTGATGAAATCAATCAAGAAAATAAAAAGCAGTTTCACTGATGGGACAGCTAACCTTAGGGAAGGTAGAGTTATAGTACAGAAGAATTTAAAGACAGCACAGAATTTGGCAACAAATCAATACAGTGTGATTGAATAAAGATAGACTAATGCTTTACATAGGGATAGAGAATATTATGTACTAGGAATGTTAAAATTAATCAACTAATCAAATAGTTGATGGAATTTCCATCGACTATTCAATTAGTTGATAAGGGTGCTTCCACTTAGAAATGTAGCAAGAGCCCACTTGGCTGTGGCTACATTTCAAATGTGGAAGTGCACCATAGTGTCCCACCTTTCAAATGTACAAGAGCCCCAGCAGGCTCTTGTGCATTTCAAAGATTGAAAAACCACATGGAGCCCGGAGCCAGCAGGGAGCACCCTACTGACTCTGGGCTCCATGTGGCGCTTCTGCTTTGAAATGTACAAGAGTCCCAGCAGGGGCTTAAAAGCCAGTTGTCCCCAGCTCCAGCTCCATGGGAGGGGGCAGGGGCGCAGTGGCAGTGTACCACCTTTGAAATGTACAAGAGTCCCCACTGAGGCAGAGGGGAGAAACTGATTGAAGTTGTGGAAGTCTAGGATAGTCCTCCATCTGCCCCTAGTTGAAGGAGATGGTTCAGTCCGTGTAAGAGTACATCTTCGTGAGAGGGGCCCCTGAAGAGGGATGGGCAAGGGTAGTGGGAGAAAGGGCTAACTGAAAATGGGATACAGTAACTTCTTCAAATAATTTCTAGCACCCATCTGTTGGTAGTGATGTGTGCCACGCTGGATAAAATGAGACTAGACTGTTGACAAATGTTGTGGATGAGATGGATTTCTGCCATGGACATACTGGGGCTGTAAGACCCTCAACCAACCCTTCAGAAGGTCTGACGTGAAGTGGATGGTTGTGGGGCTGATGTCTGCAGACACTTGTCTACACCTATTCTGGCACAGTTAGCACTTATCATATTGCCTATGTTGTTGGTTTACAACTTGAGGTGAATTTCTTGCAGTGGGGGCACTGGGAGGTAGAGTTCTCTTCACCCAAACAGCAGACACATTGGGAATACACCTTTTAAATCCAGGTGAACCAGGCATGTCCCAAGAGAAAAGCAGTTACTAGAATACAGGAACCTTAAAAGCTTAGAACTAGAACGTAACTAACTCTAGTTGTACTATGATTTTTTTTAAACGACAACACTACTACGCACTATTAAACTGAGGGGGAAAAAACAGGAAACTGCTATCAATAACCATCTAAAATGCTAACACTAACGCTTGAGGGCGATTGCTGGGTTCCGACCAAAACCAACAGCAGTAGAGAATGAACTGGAGGGGCTGCTGGCTGTGCATGTGCAGTAGTCATTGCAAACATCACGCGCCCACGGCTCCACATGCGCAGCTACTTAAATTCTTCAATTAGAAGCACAGCGGCATTCAGACACCTTAGGTAGAGCATCCACAGAGATGCTCCTCAACAAAGAATCTGTACAGTCTAGAGAAAAGACCAAGTCTTTATGATAATTCCATATCTATTATATAGGCTAACAAAAAAGGAAGTAGTAGTCAAAGCACATTAAAAAAAGTAGCAAAGGTCTAAAATGAAGCAAAAGGACAATAACTAGTAATCTATCACAGGGAGGTCAATGAAACCTCATTAACATGACTGTGGAATTATCATTACTAGACACTGGCACAGCAAACAAAATTATTCTATTTATTACTTGTATTACCACAGCACCTAGGAGCCTAGTCATGGCCCACTGAGCAAATATGATTCTGCAGAAAGCTATGAGTAATATTCTGCAATGATACATACAGGCTAGATAATTCAAGGGGGCATTTTCATAACATTCAAATAATACCAATACAGGCAGTCCCCGGGTTATGTACAAGATAGGGACTGTAGGTCTGTTCTTAAGTTGAATTTGTATTTAAGTTGGAACTGGCATCCAGATTCAGCCACTGTTGAAACTGACCAGCAGTGGCTGAATCGGACACGCCTGGGGCAGAGCAGCTGGGGTGCTGCTGGGTTGGTCCCGCAGCATTGCTCCTCGGCGCTACTGGACCAACCCGGCAGCAACCCAGCTGCTCTGCCCCAGGTGTTCCCAAGTCAGCCGCTGCTGAAACCGACCAGCC